ATACACATACACATACACATACACATACACATACACATACACATACACATACACATACACATACATATACATATACACGTTTAGCTTTTCCTACAAGAAATCAATTCATTTAAAATGTAAGAAGAAAAGATGTACCCTTTGAGCCATTTTCCCAACATTACAACTTGGGGCTTTAGGAAAATGACATGGAAAAATTGTTTCTTAGGAAATACAGAGTTTGGAGCAAATACCAGAAAGAAGCAGTGGGATGGTAGATGTGATAAGATGCTCCCAAACAACATTAAAATTCTATTATTGAAGAACTATGGGAAATACTGAACCTTTAGCAATCATACCACTAACACAATCCTTTTATTCTCAAGTAACTCCCCTGTATCTTTTAGAATTATTTTTGCTACTGATGAGTACCTTTAGTTTTATGTATATGTAATCTCACTTTCTGAAAAAAAATGTTTATGTGTTAAGAAACAAAGAATGATCATTTTGTTTTAGCTAATATAAGATGCAGATAGATACAGTGATACAATTTCTTAATTTAGTATTTAATAATTTTTATTTTAACTCCACCTGAAAGGGTAAATCCAAATATTTTAAAGCCTTGGGATTTTTTTATTACACATGTAATCATTTAAGCACACCAATGCCCAGTGATGTATGTGTACAAAACATCAGAAATATCGGCTACTTGAAAATTCCATAGAAATTGTACTATTCTATTCAATACTATAATACTGAGAAGAGACTTTAAATACAGTCTGTAGGTAGCACATTTCAAGATTTTGATTGATGGTTCTTGTTGTGGTAGAAAAATATTTAAGTTTTCTGATGGCCTTATTGACATTCACTTAGAATAGCTTGCTGTTGTCATCCCATATAACATCTCTTTTCACCATATAAAGAAAATTCAATTTAAACCACACTGATAGATTGTACTGAATAGATATTAAGAATAATGGCAAATATATACAATTCTGAAAAAAGTGTAGTATTAACTGAAATCTAACATTGAAGAAGATACTAGAAACAAATCTTTGGTGTTGGAAAAAAATCCTTCATTTAGTGATAAGTGCTTTCAATGTCTAATGATGAACATTTCCAGATGTATTAGGATATTGATCAAACTAACATAAAAAAATCTTAAATGTCATGCCTGAAATCTCTAATTTTCTGTCTTTGCTGGTGCTGTTTTTCTTGTCTCTTCCATTTAGTTTTATCTTAAGAGATGATGATAGAATAGTTTCATGTTCAGAATTGGTTGGGTTTTTTTTTCTGTTTCAACTTAATTACACATCAAAAATCTCTGCATAATAAGTCATGGTCTTGGTTGTTCAGCTGAAAGATACTTTTTGATCCACAGATTAGCTAAATTATTATAAAATAAAGGATAAATTCCTGTTTTCTAGAATATTCTTCCAAGTGGTCCTATAAATTTGAACAGCATTCTAAGCCGACAAATTATATTGGGAAACACAGGCTTACAATAAATTGTTTTAACGTTATTTAAAATATCTTTGAAATCAGATACTTTCAATTTATGAACAAAAATTCATGTTATTTGTTAAGAAAAAAACCAGTGTAACCAGGAACTAATTGTACATAAAAGTGTTGTAATATATCTTCACTACACTTCATCACTTCATTTTAAAACATGAGAAGTGTTCTTTCATACATTACCCAAATATGCAGGCATCTTATACTGGTGTTTCAGTAAGATTTGAAAAATCATTTCAAGTGTTCTACTACATTTGTAATATTTTACAGTTACAACATTCAATGATCATGTTAAAATGTCAGTTTAGAGATGATACCTATCTACTATGATTATTGAAGCTTCAATTGGTGAAAAATAGTTGCCAACTACACAAAAATAGATCTTAACATTTTACAGAACTTGGAAAATTGCTTTTCAGAGGTGCTTAAGCAAAACTCCTGATATGTGTATATCTTACGTCATACCATTTTGCACAGGGAATTGCACTGCATGACATGGCTGGAAATAAACCACTGGTGGCCCAGATGCTACATAATAACTAGGGTACCCTCCCTTAAGAACTAGGTATGGAGCAGGTTGATAAAAGCAAGTTACGTTGTCTGTACTGGGTAAAATATTCTGTTCTCCAAGTACTTTCAAAGCCAAAAGAGTGATCATGTTAAGGGTCTGCCTTCTTTCATATCCCATGAGGCAGACAGTGCTTTGGTTCACCACTCCATGCAAAGTCATAAGGTAGTCATATTTGCTTTTTTCGTCACCTATGAAATGGTTGTGGAGGTACGATTCAATTTTCTTTTGCTGTTCTGCTACATCAGGAAAATCAATGAAAAATCTAGAACACATATAACGTTCCAAAGTCTTAATTTCTGTTTCAGAAGCTGGTTTGAAGTCACGAACCAACAAATTGCTATATTTCAAAAGGCCACCACCTCTGATCTCTTCAGGTTTTCTGGTAGATATTAGCTTGTATTTCAAATGTATCATTGCTTCTTGAAAGTCCCCATACATACTTTCAGCCACCACAACAGGACAAGATTCTTTGGTTAGCTTGGCATTTGGGACACTATAGAAATCTAACATAGAATCCAAAAGAATTTGAAAAGAATCTACACTAAATTCAAATTGTCGTCGGAGTGAATTCACAAATTTTAGTTCTACATTCTTCCCAGTGTTATTTGAAAGGGAGATGAGGCTCCAACGATCACTGTTACTGCAAATTTTTATCATTTTCTGCACATATGCGTCTTTCATGGTTTTTAGGGTAATCTTTTCTTTTTTAACACCTTTTGGTAAAAAGTCAAGTAGACAGCCTAAAACTGCATCCTTAACTACCTGAAACTCTTGATCACTTGGTAGATCAACACCAAAAATAATGTCCAAATCTTTATAGCTGATTCCATTATGGCTTGCGAGTATGTAACTTGCTGTAGAGCCATTCAATCTTGTATCTTTAACAATAATGCCCTGCTTTATGAGTTGCTCTTTCACAACATGAACAATATCTTTTGGTTTTACCTCCAGTGTGGGGAAATTGCCCCTTCCATGAATTGGGATTACTTCCTCTAACACACGATCCAGTGTTACAATGTGATCCCAAGTGAGATTGCTGAATCTGATATCAGACATTGTGAAGTCAATAAAACAACTAGGGGGAAAGAAAAATATTAAGAGGAAATGTCAGCATCTTCAAGCTAATGTTATACTTAAAGCATATAAAAAATGTTCAAAACAGACTTATCCAAATATAGTAAATACATTATAAACAAAGAAAATAATAGGATGTTATTAATAGATATAATCATACTGAAGTATGCAAAGTAAAGGTAAAAATGATAAGACATTTTGGCTCATTATTGAATACAAACATGTTCCCAGGGATTAACTGCAATTATATAATTCATAAAATAAAAATAGTGTTCTTTTCTCTTTTTTCCTCACATAAATATAGAAATGATGGGGTTTGGTCATAAAAACACTACTTATAAGAGACTCATAGTACAACACTGAGGCTGACTGTCAATAACTTACATTGAGATGAGATGGCATGTACAAAATGGAACTTATATGAAAATAATATATTTATTCCACAAATATAAAAGTATTCACAAATATATTATTGAGCTTTGTATTTTTCATCACTCTCACTTGAAATACCTTTTCAGTAATATTCTATTATATTATTAAAACTATGGGTTCTTTGAGAATAAGAATAACATCTGATTTACTACCTGTTCTATATGCCCCGAGGAAATTTAATGTGAGGTGAAAAAATAATGACTGTTGCTTAGAAATGAAAACTGGAACTATCAAATATGTATACACATTTAAATAAGAACACAGAGAATCATGATTATGGAGAATAAAAATCATCCCTGGTGAGGGATGGGGCCACCCACCCTTCTCAAAACTTTTAACCTAGATTTGCTCCTGTCTAAAGAAAACTGAGGAGCGAAGAGTGCAGCAGAGAGTGAAGAAAAGAACATCCAGAGACTGCCCCATCTGAGGATTCATACCATATGCATCCACTGAACCTAGTCACTATTACTGATGTCAAGAAGTGTTTGCTGATAGGAGCCTGATATAGCTGTCCCCTGAGAGGCTGTGCCAGAGCCTCACTGATACAGATGTGGACACTCAGAGCTAACCATCAGATTGAGTAAAGAGGCACCAATGGAGGAGTTGGGGAAAGGACTGAAGGAGCTGAAGGAGATTAGAACCCCAGAGGAAGAACAATATCAACCAATCAGACCCCCTAGAGTTGCCAGAGACTACACCACCAACCAAAGAATGCACATTGAGAGACCCATAGCTTATTTTGATTGACTTATTTGGCATCAATGGGAGGGGAGTCCCTTGGTCCTGTGAAGGCTCAATGCCCCAGCATAGGGGAATGCTAGGGTAGGGAGGCAGGAGTGGATAAATGAGGGAGCATCCTCAGAGAAATATGGGAGACGGGGATGGGATAAGGGAGGAAGGGGGATAGTATATGAAATGTAAATAAATAAAATAACCAATTAAAAAATGTAAAAGAATCATCTGTAATGTAGGTAAGACAAGTGGATTGTCAAGATCCCAACAAAGGGTCAGAAATGGCCATTTATATAATAAATAAGTTATACTTGTTTTCTTTGCCACAAGCTTATTACCATTCTGTCCACAGAAATAAAAGTAAAACTCATTAACAAGTTTCCAACTATATTAATATTAAAGTTTATCTTCAAAGACAATGAGGAATGACTTATAACTTACATTGTAAAATAACGTTTGAGAACTCTCTATATTCAATATGATGATTCTGTCAATGTTTTGGACAACATATGAATTTTCATCTTATCTTGGAGTACAGTCATGAGGCAACCAGTCTGAAGAAATAAAAACAACAAAAGAACATTCTGATTCATATTACACATGAATAATCTGATGTTCCTGGTCATATTCTTATATACTATATGTATACATATATATTCAGATGCACATACCAGAGAAATGGTAGTAAAACCATTGCCCTGAAATAGAGGTTCTGAACTTTCAGGCTATATCATTACATGGAGGTTCTATGAAATATTTCTTGATCCCACTTTCAGAGTTTCTGAATAAGTAGGTCACAGGGGGAACCTGAATATATGTACTTATACCTTCCCAGACGGTGTTGGTGTGACTATACTTTAAGAATCCTATCACTAGGAAGATCCCAGAGGCCAATCTGTAGCATAGTCTGCCCAGAACAAGAGCCACTATGATGTGCAAGTATGTGATGGAGAAAAAGGAAAGCAGCAGAACAGTTTGAGCAGTATGAAGAGAAGTGAGACTGGAGCCATGAGGGTTGAGAGTACCCTGTTGTGAGTAGTCTGTCTTGCTACCTGGTTCATGCTGCCAAGGGCCATGTCTAGGTCCTTGGCAATGCAGCAGCAGGGGTCTGTGTTGATGTTCATGCCTTATGTTACCACCAAAGGCCATGCAGTTGTTCCTGGTCTGAGCTGTGGCCTATGACCATGTTGATGTCCAAGGGCTGTGCAAAGCTAGCATCAACCTCACTGACTGCAACACTCCAAAGAGAGGCTCTGCAGTTACCTCACCTAAGTAACATAACAGAGCTGGCTCTGGTGCATGGAGAGCAGGGGAGCTGGTCCCAAAGGCATAAACTCCAGAGAGCTGGACCTGGTACTCATCTGCAATGAGGTGGCATGGGTACTGGAGAGATGCTCCCCATCTTGCCCCTGGGATCATGAGAGGAGTAAAACTGAATCTGTTTCTCACTAGCTACAGCACTAGGGAAAGCAGACTCTGCACTTCTCTTGGGAAGAACAGTAGATTTGCCCAGAAGGCCTTGCTACTCTTCTGTAGTGAGGTCATGTGGGCACTGGAGAGATGCCCTCTACCCTCATATGTGCCACCTGTGGCAGGCTGGAGAGTTGGCTGTGGGGTCATGAGAGTAGGCCCTGAACCTCACCTGGCTTAGCACAGTAACTGGCACAAGTGCATAAGGACTGGAGAGCTGGCACCAAGGGTGTGAGTATAAGAGAGCTAGTCAGGCTATGGACCTGCTTTGAGGTGGAGCTGGCCCCGGCCCTTGTTGGCAGAGGCACTGGGTGAGCTGTAGTGTGTGAGTGTGTGTGTGTGTGTGTGTGTGTGTGTGTGTGTGTCTTGTGGGGTCAGAGCAGAAGAGCTCTCCCTGGTGATGTGGGTACAGGGGAGCCAGTGGGCTGACCAACTCAGCTACCACTCAAGCCCAGGTCCCCAGAGCTTCTAGTTGGCACACCTCAATATCTATCCCATCTATGATCGTGTGGAGGATGTGAAGGGGCTGATCATACAGAACCAAAGCTGCAAGAACTCCCTGATATTTGGCAACAATAGAATGTCTGAGAAGAGTTCTGGTGAGGATTCAGTATTGATAGTGTAGCAGAAACCCTAAGTATCGAACCAGACCAATGAGTCACTGCAATGAACATTTTGCAAGTAAAGATGTGTGAGCAAGGCTAAGCACTGCAAGGGAATACCAATAAAAGTTAAAAATATCTCTCGGGTTCCCTGAGGGACACGCCTGACTGCATAGGGGTTGATGTCAAAAGTATCCCCTCTCCAGGAAAAAGACATCGGGATGGGTATGGCCCTCATGTCTCACTGGACAACGACAGGGGGACCGGAGTCATTACAAGGTCCCCTTCAAATACTGGAGGTCAGGCCTCTATCCCCGCCTTCACAAGATTAGAATCGCCACATCCCTTCTATACTTAGAGAAGGGAGGAGATGTCAGGGGCAGCCCTGATTACACACTGAAGGCCTAAAATCAGCCATAGGCCTAAAATCAGCAATAGGCCTGTCATACATGTATACTAACACCAAGTCTTAGTTCTCTGTGGAAAAACATTGAAACAGATAGCTATAAGCTATTGTAAACAGGCAGTTTTGTGACAATTTACCAGCCTGAGTAGTCATAGACCTTGTAAATAGGTAGCCTTGGCAGATAATACCAACTTAGATAAGGACAAGTGAATCATAGGCAGATCCATAGTGACCTGTCCCCTGAACCCTTACCCAACTGATACCCTGTTCTGAAAAATATCTGTATTCCCCCTGAACACCCACACTCCAGTGTCATCCCCTTCCCCACATCCTGCCTTTCTGTGTTTATAACCCCTGTGTGAATGAGTATAAATTACAATTTGAAAAAAATAAATAAATTATATTTTAAAAAAAGATGCGTGAACAGAAGGGTACACTGTGTGACACACTATAATTCTACAGCTTCCACAATGAGATTTTTTTTGGTTTTTGTTGTTTTTTTTTTCTTTTCTTCTTTGGTGGAGGAGGATGCTACAAAGCTATATGGTGAATACAAAGGGACAGAAGATGAGTGGGATTGGGGTGCATGATGTGAAATTCACAAAGAATCAATAAAAAGCTAAAAAGAAACACCATTAAAGGAAACATAGAAGAAATGATAGAGAACCAGAACTATCAACAGGTATACCTCATGACTTGGCAACTTCTATTTCATAAAAAAAATAAATAAATAAAATATTATACTGGGGGTGGGAATATGACTCAGTGGGTAACGTACTGTGTAAATCTGAGGATTCAAGTTTGGGTATCCAGCACCCACATAAAAATCAGGCATGGCAATGCACGTCCATAATTGAAGTGCTAGGCAGATGGACACACAGGGAACCTTATCAAGGACTCAATAGCCAGCCAGTCTAGCTGAAATGGCAAACTCTGATCTCACTGAGAATACCCTTTCCCCAAAATTTAGATGGAGAACATGAAAAAGAAAATTGATGTTGACCTTTGTTCACCATGAAATAAAGTAAAAATAAGAATTATAACAAATAAACCAGAATTCTAATCCAAGCAAATGTTCTTTTAAAGGCTTTTATAAACAGTCTAACAGTCCAATACTCTATTCAATATTTTCAATTAGATGTTATGATTAACAAAGCCTAAACCTTGTATTATGATTCTAAAACATAAATACTGTTAGTTACTTTACTTACAATAAATGCTTATATAGAGAGGTAGATGGCTCCTACTTTGGAAAACTTCAAGATTGGTATCCACCTATCATTAAATAAACAAACAGACATTAGTAATATAATGTACAATATTTCATGGATTCAACAAAATATTATTTGATTACTAAATTTTACATTACATTTGATACACTACTACATCTGTTTCTAGGAGAGATGATTAAGGCCCATGAGAAATGAAAGTGGCATATTTAATCAAAATATAGTTTATCAACAACTGAACATTCTCTTTAAGGATAAAACCTTTTTTGAAGAAATCATATTTATATCATGATGAAAATAGGTTGATTTGTTATTTTTGTGGTATACTGAGTAAAGCAGTAGACACAGTACTCTGGGTAACATTAATAGTAAAGAGAATCAAACAAAATCATGAGAACATGTTAATAATCTCACAAAATCCCTTTCATTGCTTTTGCTTTGCTAACGGTAAATTCTGACCAATAGTAACAAGGAAAAACCTCTAAGGGGCCAGGTATAAACCTCAATGCTACAGTGCTTGCCTGTCATATGCAATGTGCAGAGATCAACATCCAGCACTACAAAAATAAAGAGACAACAGCACACCCATATTTGACTACAAGCTTAAAAGAATCATTAATATGATACTAATTGTATGATATCTGAAATTAATAAGCTAGACAAAAGTCAGAAAGATGTGCTATCTGCTTGTGGTCCTACACTGTGTCTAGATCAATGAAAGTGTAATGTGTACTGTTTTGTCATTTTCCCTACAGAATTATATACAATGTTAAATAGATAATTTCTCAAAAACATATTCTTTGGATTTAATAAATGTCAAGGAGAGCAAGAACTATGATGAGAATAAAGAGTAAGAGGAACTCTTAGTAAAATTATCTTTTTAAAATTTTTCTCTCATATATTATATCCGATTATAGTTTCCTCTCCTTCCACTCCTCCTAGTACCCTCCCACCTCATCTCTCTCCCAGATCCACTCCTCCTCTGTTTAACCATCAGATTTGACTGTTTTCATTTTTAACACTCCTAAAAAGGATAATGAAATTAGTATAAGCAGTACATATCAAAACCAAGTGAGTTGTTTTAAATGTGATAATTGTGATCCCTATTCTAGCAGAGAACTGGGGTACATTAGATGTATTATAGAGGCAAATTAAAGAAACAATCAAAATTCAAAAGAAAGAATTAGGCCTTATAATATTAATGTGAAGAGAATCAACAAAAAATACACAAAAGCCTAATTTTCTATGTAAAAGTCATTGCTATTTCGAATGTCTTTCTACACACAAAAGGTTTCTCTAGTAGCTCATCTAAGCTAAGTCCAAGGTAATTATGCATACTTTTTCTGAATATCTACAATATACACCTATATAACCCCAAAGTCATTCTTAGACTGCCCAACAAATCATAATGTATGTCTTTTCAAAGAGACATATATGAGTCTATAGACTAATTAATGTTATACTTAAACCCATCAAATAAAGATTTGGGGCTTTCTGAGGGGTTTAAATATAATCTTAATTAGTCATATCTGTCTTTTACATCCTCACAGAAGCAGGGGGTAGAGGGATGGGATAGGAGGTTTCCTGAGAGGAAAGTGGGAAAGGGGATAACATTTGAAATGTAAATAAAGAAAATACCCAATAAGAGAAAAGAAGAAAAAAAAGATTTGGGGCTAGAGATATGGTTCAGAAGTTAAAAGTAGTAGTTACTAGTTACTCTTCCTTCCAAGAAGCAGTGTCCCATTCCTAACCTCCACATGGTGCCTCACAATTACCAGTAATTCCAGTCTCAGGGGATCTGAGACACTTCTTGTTTCTGTGGGCACCAGGCATAAATGTGGTGCATAAATATAAAGGCAGACAGAATATTCAAAGACATAAAAGTAAATAAAATTTTAATGAAGATTCTTAGTTGGGATACATTGAAAAAGATCAATTTTGTGTGGCTATCATGGCTACTACAATAAGTTATTCTGGAATCTAAGACACACATATATACATTCACAAATGGAAATTAAGACAGAAAAAAACTAGTTTTTACTTTACATTCATTATCTCTTCGCTCTACTAATAATTTCAAACAGTTTTTTCTTACAAATGAAACAGAAATTTTTCTGTCTGTAGTTCAACTATAGATATATTTAAAGGTTCTCTGTTATCTAAAAGATGTAATTTAACATAATTCTTCTTAATGTCTATACAGATCTGTTTATAAAAATTATAATCACAAAATATTTGCCAGTATCTCTACTCAGATAAATATTTTTATAATTTGTTCAAATGACAAAATGAATTAATTTCTTCATTCATGGAATTTTTTGTCTTAGCATATTTCTATTAGTTTAAAAATCTAATTAAAAAAGTAACCCTACAACCTTTTTCTGGTTAAATATAGCAGAGGATAAAGATGTTAATTAAAAACTATAGATATTTAAAATATTAACATATTCAAATATTGTTATGCATTGTTGAATTTGGGATTGTAATGAATATATGTAATATTTCAACAACCAAATATAACTTAAGTAAGCATGAGGAACTCACAGTAAGGTTAAGCTATTTGGAGGCTTATATTAAGCTTTTTCTATTGTGTGCATGAAATTTTTATATAGTCAAGATTTAGAAAAATAACTCCATTGAAATTACTATGTCATTTATGCCATAATGCACTGTTAATGTTACAAGTCTTGTTTAAAGGTTCACATGGATGTTTTCAATAGTGCTCACTTTTGACATTAGTCATTTCCAAATTTTGTTCTGAAGAATGAATCATTTCACTACTGAAGTTAAAATGAGTTCAATTTAGGCCAATCCATAAACTCATTTTAGTTTCAATATGGTTCATATCCCAAAACAGTTACAATAATTCATTTGTCCTGGATTCCCTTAATGAAATGGATAATCATTTTCAAAATTCATAGCTACTAACCAATGTGCATTAGGATAACTGTGAAGCTTGTATGAAGGGTGTTAACTGTAAAGTGTTCTTAGTTTAAAAAAAATTAAGGACTTTAGTTACATTGTGAAAGAAGTTATTTATGCACATTTTAAACTACTAGAAATGACATAGTTCTTAGAGAGGAAATATGGTTTATAATCAAGGGCCATGCTGGGAGAGAGAAAACATCAATTTCTCTTGTGCCAAAAGATGATAGGATTGTTAAAGGTTTTAATTCTATTTTGGTATATAATAACACAGTCATGTATTTCCCATTCTAATATTATTTATATATTTGTCTGTATTTCACATCATGACTTTTCAAGTATCATGCTTAAGTCCACTTCTTATTCAAAGAATAATGTATTATCAATTGATATATTTATAAAAAATACCCAATATTCTGTCACTTATGTACAGAAAAGAAACTTCTCAAAATTCCTGTATGTAGGTGGAATCATGCTGCAAGAAGTCCTTTGAATGCAAAGGCTTAGGTAAAATGTGAATTAAAGAATTAAGAAACATGCCAGGCACCTACTGACGTAAAGAAAAGAACACATAGGGCTGAAAACGGGGCATCTTTGGATTAAAAATCTTGGTGCTCATAAAAGAATGCCTTCCCATCAAGTTAAACCTATGCCTTTAATTCCAGAAAAACAAACAAACAAATCTTACCATGTTCTTTTTTTGCCTCACATACATGTAATTTTTCCGATAGTTTTTGTTGTTGTTGGTGGTGGTGGTGGTGGAGGTGGTGTGTGTGTGTGTCTGTGTGTCTGTGTTTGTGTATGAGCACACACACAGGCGCTCCCATGCATGCTGTAGTTATCTGTTGGTTTTAAATGTTAAAAGTGTGCACTCTCCTGAGTAAACCATCTTCTGCTTCCTTTCAGGTTTAGCACAAATCCTTTACAGTGAAAAGTATAAGGACATGACATTATAGGATCTTTCTTCCTCTTCTTCTTTTATATTACCTGGAAGAGGGTGATCACTTTGAAAATTACATAGCTACTTTTAGCATTCTTTTTGCTTTTGATATTACCTAGTAGAGCTGCCTCTGGAAACTGCTGCAAAATTTAGAGAGATAAACTGGCCAGCTACAACTCCAGTTTGCTTTGAATGGAATGCAAGAGTAGGGTACCACTAAGAAGTCTCTAAAGTGCAAAGAGCTTCCTGGATGGAAGCCAAAGCTACCCAGTGAGACAAAATATCATCCTCTCTATACAAAATGCTTTTTAACTAACAAGACACTCATAAAAAACCCGAAAGCCTAATAAGCATTTACCGAGTAAATTAAGATCTTTAATTACTTTTATGTATATGCCTGTCAAGACTCAGGGATTACAGACTATATAGAGACAGAAAAGGACTACAGAATTATAGTCAACACTGCACACATGCTCCATACAGCTCACAAACACTAACCGAAGAAGCAGGGAAGTAGGAACTCACCAGAATAGTCCAAGAAAACAAAACAAAACCCCTCTTAAGCATATAACAAAAACCTCCGTTTATGACTCTCCCCAGCCCCTTCCCATACCCTCTTAGCCCTTAGAACTCACTTCACCAACTGCTGATCTCTTCAAATCCGACCAGTCAAGGAGCAACTGGAAGGGGAGGAGGAGTGCTAAAGTGAGGCTTCTGAAGCATGCAGGAAAGATCAGGAGGGCTGTTAAACAGAGAAACTGAAAGAAACTGAAAGAAATAAAAAAAATGTTGCAAAAGACTGGGAGAGAAAAGAGAAGGATGGATGAGAATGAGCTTCAGAAAAGAGCACAGAAAGCAAGCCCCTGCAACAGCTGGCAAGGCTGCTACACTGCTCTGTCCAAGAGATACTGGGTGCTGAAATGACTTCTCCAACACACCCCTCTAGTCCCACTCATCCACTCCACAGACTTCCCTTCCTCTCAGGCTCATCCCCCTCTTGTAGCGTAAAACCATTTCCATGGCAACCTGTCGTCATACAATTTAAGGTGGTCCGTACTTTTGAGTTGTGTGAGTTTTTCATAGCATAGGCAGGGCGATCTATTACTTCTATTCTCCTTTAGCACAGAACTTTCCCTGGTATAATAATACTACCTTTTCTTCCTCCCAAAATGGAAAATCAA